TGCTCCTAGTAGCAATGCCACGAGCCCCTAGTAGCTTCCTTGCTCCTTGTAGCGATGCCAGGAGCCCCTAGTAGCTTCCTTGCTCCTAGTAGTAAGGCCAGCTGCCTTGCTCCTAGCAGCGGTGCCAGGAGCCCCTAGTAGCTTGCTTGCTCCTGGTAGCAAAGCCTGGAGCCCCCAGTAGCTTCCTTGCTCCTAGTAGCGATGCCAGGAGCTTTGCTACCAGTAGCGATGCCAGCCCCAAGTAGCTTCTTGCTCTTATAGTAGTGATGCCAGGAGTTTGTAGTAGCTTCTTGCTCCTAGTAGCGATGGCACGAGCCCTGATAGCTTCTTGGCTCCTAGTAGCGATGCCAGGAGCCCCTAATAGCGTCCTTATTCCTAGCGCAGATTCCGTCCATTCCGTATGTCTTCAGCCATTTGGAGCAAAGGAGCTTGAGCAAGATTCGTCGAGAGTCGTCATGTCGGCTTGTCCTTCTCCTCGCATCTTCCTGTTTTGCGGTGAAGGGGCTCACAGCGCGGAGACGGACATTGCCACGCAGCGCAGAAACATGATTTGCCATGTCCGTATTTATTGTTCAGAAGACTTTGGATTTCACAGTGAAACCAATGCCCTATTTGTCTTTTGAGGCTTGCCTGAAATTGTCCAGATCGTGGCCTGCTGTAGAGGATGCTCTTCAGCAATTGGGATTGTCCAATGCGGAAGCTTTCTTGCAGCAAAACCTTGGAAAGCACTGTGCGCCCACATCTCCTGTGGTATCCGTGGTGCTTAACATGCTCAACGCAGACCTGTGGCAGCAGTGACTAGGTTCACAGAAATATGTTTTTCTGTTTCTCTTTTTGGTGTTTTGCAAGTCTGTGACAGTTGTTCTTAAACACATGTGTTGCAAAACAATGAATAGGCCGATGTTGTAATGGCATCACGGCAGGGCCTATTGTAGCCTTGGGCCTAAGTTGGTAAGCAAAATTCCCAGCTAAAAGACAAAGCCACCAAGTGACTCAGTCAGAACCCAGTTTGTGTTGCAAGCCATGTGAATAGTGTCTCCTAGTCCTTTGGCCTGCTGGTCCCTTTCCTCGTCCACTGGCCTCGTGGTCCATTGGTCAATGTTGGTCAAAAACACGAGGTTTGCGAAAGCAAAGCGCTACCCGGTTGCCTTGGTCCTTGCGTCACTTGACCGTTTTGGGCAGGTGGGGCAACGTGCTCCGACCATGTAGGGGGAGCACAGGGGCAGCAAATGTGGGTCCTCAGGCAAGCCACGATCGAAACAGCAGCCAGCGCCGCGGCTCCGTTTTCACCCGCCACTCACATTGAGTCAGTGCTCTACAGGTGCCCCTGGACATTGGGGCCATGTGACAATAGAAATGCCAAGGCTTCATGACTTAGGCTGTGCAACCTGCGCACTCCTAACAGTGTTAGCTTCAACAGATTGTCCCATGGGTTGATGCTGCGCCATCCACGGACAAGATGCTCAGTTGAATCAGGGGTCTACTCCATGGCTTATAATGCGCCGCAGTCATCAATGCTGTCCTCGCATTCAAACCAAGATGTCAATCCGGCGAAAGCCTGTGAACCTGTGCAGCGTATGCGTTTGGCCTGGTCGAATATTCCGCCACCCGTTCTGCGCCAGTGCTCCAGCTTGCTCGAGATTGATAGTAGCTACCTTCCGGGTAACCGTCTGTTTCATATCCTTCTTGAAGGGGTTCACTATCACTCATTGCGCATTGACTGTACAGTGGCGGCTATGATCAAGTATCCTGGACCGAAGGCCTAGAGTGCAACTGGCCTCACAAGCCTGAGCGCAAGGAAGTGAAGCGAGCGGTTTTTTCTACACACGCACGTACCGAGCGAAAGTGCATCGGGGTGTATATGTATATGGTGTGAAAGCATTGCGTAAGAGCATCACAGTAAGGCAAGTAAAACAACCCCAAAGGAGGCCCAGAAGACCAGAAACAAGACAGTCAGGCTCAAATTCTTTGCTCTGTAGCGTGCGTCGAAGCTATCTGCGCAAAAGGCAAAAAAGAAGTGTCATGTCTTTGACATGCAAGGAAGGTCTGTTCTGCACGAAATTGGTATCCGTTCCATTGGCAGCACTGGTGCCGGCGTTGCTGCTCTAACGTCACATAACAACGAACGACCCTGCGCCAAAAGAAAAGGCGCAAACTTTTGTTGTCGCCAACAACTAAACCTGGCCCAAGTTCGGCGCCAAAGTTCAAACAAGGAAGCGCGGGTAACCAAAACAGCTTCTCAGTTGCTCCAACCATGATCATGATCAGAATCCGAAACCGTATTGTGAACAATCCAGAGTGACGAGTCACCTCAAGCCCGAGTCAAACCATCTAATGTCGACGTAGGATCAATCAACCCCCTCAAGGTCAACAATGTCAACGAGGTTTCATATTGGAGGTATTGGAGATCAGATCTCCCGAGTTTCGCCAGCATAGACCCCAGTCCAGGTCAGCCTGGAACTGGCGACAAGCGCCAACAACTGATGGAGCGGTTGGACGGTCCAGCAGAGAAGTCTGGCCCAGATTAGGCTCAAGCAGCCATCCATGGTGACCCATTAATGCGACGCCCTCAGATCGTCCAGTTGCGAGCTCGTCTCAAGAATCGACTTTTGCGCGCAGCACCGAAGCAGCAACACCAGCACGCAGGCTCCCAAGCGCGCACTGCCATAAACATCTGGCAATGCTCTGCAGCGCTCTCCAAAGCGCACGCGGCTATAAGCCTCGCGGCAGAAGCGCCCACTGCCATAGACATCTGGCAGTGGCACCTGCAGCGGCACCAGGGCAAAAGCTTCAAAGCATACACGGCCACACATCTGTCAGCGGCACCAGCGCCCAGGCCCCAAAACGCACACGGCTACAAACCCGCCCTGGACAGCGCCAAGGCTCCAAAGCGCCCACTGCCACAACATCTGCAAAGCGCGCGGCCACACCCTGGCAGTGGCAGCCAGCGTCCAGGCTCTAAAGTGCACACAGGCACCTCTTGGTATGCTTGAAGTAAGAACCCCACTGGCTCTTGCTATCTGGTGAATAAAGGTGATGACCTGATGATGCATGATGGTTGATGGGATTCTCTGCAAAACATGAGGCGTGTGTTAGGGGTTCAGATTTTGATAGAGGGTTAACAATGGAGAGCGAACAGAATTTTGCTAGAGAATTCTTAGGGATTGTGGAGCAAAGGCTGCTTGGGAGTTTAGATCGCAGCTGTAAAAAACATATTGGTGAAATATCTTCTGCTTTCTGGACGCAAATGGGCTTGATCAATAGGGGAGGTTTTTGCAAAGAAAGATTGTCATTAGAGGGATGTCAATGTGGAAATTCAGGCTTACATTTAGTTTGTTATTGGGGGCGCGAGCTGGGTTTGATGAACAAAATACTACTAGATGCACATCATATTATTTTGGTCTAAAGAAAACACGTACACCCACCACATTGCTTGTAAACAAGAGAACGGACAAGACACACCAACCAACCGAAACAACAACACTAAAACACTCACAACACGGGAGTACATCGGAACAAACACTGCAAATGTGTGCGGATGCATCGAAAAACATATAGTTGACTACGTAAAACAATCTACTCAACTCCGATACGACATGTACAGGATTTCGCACTTGAGGCCTTCGTGGTTCAAAACAGCTCGCATGGTAGCGGAGCTGAGAAGGCTGACACTCGTCAGCTGGAGCTCCGGGGGAATTTTTAATCCAGGTGTGAGGTCGCCCGCGCCGAGCCACCCATCCAACTAGTGTTGCACTTTCGCTCGCAATCATAGCGTGAGACTACCTGAAGAAGATCTTCGAGCGAGTGTCCTTTGGAGGTGTGGAGAAGGGCGAACGACCTGGGTAGAGGGAAGAGCTTGGCACGAAGAGGAAGAGAAGATGGACCAGTCCGACATGCCAGGGCTAGCTCAAGCTGTCATAGCGGCTGCTAATGCAGCAGCCCAGGCGGCTCAGGCAGCGGCTTCAAGTGGAGGAACAGCTGGTCCAGGTGCAGAAGGAGCAGGGGGAAGTCAAGGGGTGTTGAAGCGTGATCTAGCAAAGTTGATCCCACGACCTGGTGCCTTTAATCCCACTGACAGGGAACAAGAGGTTTTGCAGTGGCGAGATTGGTACTGGACAGTCAAACAATATCTGGTTGTTGTTGATGCAGCATTCCAAGACGAGTTGGAGAAGCTAGAAACCAACCTGACAACAGAGATAGACTGGGAGTTGCTAGATGAGGAGGAACAGCAGAGAAGTCGCTTTCTATACAGCTTGTTGGGGAGCTTGGTACAAGGACGACTGACAGGTGTAATCAAGAATGTCGAGAAGTTCAATGGAATGGAAGCACTTCGACAACTGTTGATGAACTGTCAACCCCAGGCGAGAAACAGGACGATGAACCTCCTGCAAGGGATAATGTCCTACCCGAGCTTCAACATGAAGAGTTCCTTGCTGCCTCAAATCCTCAAGTTGGAGGAACACTATGTCCAGTATGAGCGCCTTGGAGGAAAGCTATCACCTGACATGAAGTCGGCGGTGTTGCTCAGAGCGGTTTCGGGTCAGATGAAGACTCATTTGAATCTGACTTTGAATGAAGGCAGCTCATACAACAAAATCAGGGAAGCAATCATTGCCTTCGACACGGCCACCACCAAGTGGAATGAGTCGGGAGCCCTTACGTTTTTGACAAGTGCAGCAGATCCCAACGGTCCAGTACCCATGGAGATTGACCGCATCAAGGGTGACGGCAAGAAAGGAAAAGGGAAGACCAAAGACGGTAAAGGCAAGTCAAAGGGCAAAGAAGACCGACAGAAAGGAAAAGGGAAAGGTGGCAAACCAAGTGGAAAGGAAGGCAAGGGTAAAGGAGGTGGCAAGGAGAACAAAGGTGGCAAAGGCAAAGCCGCCAACGAAGTGTGTTGGACTTGCGGTAAGCCCGGACACATGTCACGTGACTGTTGGAGGATCAGACAAGTCGAAGCACCAGCAGTCCAGAGCATCGCAGGTTCTCACACCACTTCGCCCTCTACGACGTTGACAACGAGCACATCGAGTGGAGGAGGCGGAGACACCAACGTGGGTGCCAAGAACATTAGACGTGTTTCACAGCCAGTGATCTTTGACTTGAGAGAAGGGAGTGAAGCTGGTTCAATTCGAGTTGTGAGCCAAGTTGAATTTTTCAACATTGCCTCAGAGGATGAAGAGGAGGATGGACGCTACCAAGTCAACACCATTGCTGAGACTGAGAATGAGGAGGAGGTCGAAGAGGCCTATGCGAAAGGAGAAGAACAACAGACCTTGAAGGTGATTGTTGACTCGGGGGCGGATGCCTCGATCTTCCCAGGACGACTCATGGGAATGACGAGGAGTGATCAGGTGTTGGGACAAGCCCCCCTTCAGGGAAGAAGATCCAGAGTTATGGCAACAAAGATGTGGATATCTTGATGATGACATCTGAGGGCCAATCTGTGGTCTTGAAGGAGAGAGTGACCTTCAGCGACATGGTGAGCCAGCCCATCTTGTCTTTTGGACGCTTGATGAGAAGCGGGTGGTCCATCGATGGCCAAAGACAATGTTTGAGGAATGGAAGCCTGGAGGTGCCTTTAGCGTTTCAGAATCAAAGCCTAGTGGTTGATGCCGCTATCAGGGTGATCACAGAACCCCTGGTGATTCGCACGCTGGCAGTCAGGCTGAATGAGGAGTTGACCAACATGGCTGGAAGCGGCTATGGTTGGAAGAAGAAAGATGAGTTTTGGGTTGGACCACAAGGTTTCAAAGCCCACAATTCATCCCGGGCTTTCGAGATCAAGGAGAAG